GACATATCAATATTTGTAGGTCTTTTTTTCTAAGCGCTTATACATATACTTGTAATCTCCAAGAACTGTCCATTCAAGTTAAGTTAACCTTGTCATACTATTTTAAAATATTTTTAACTGGCATCTGATCAATTTAAATTAAAAGTTATCATTAGGTTAAGGGCACGTGCTCGTCCCTGTTTTACATGTACCTTTCGTATTCAGTGGGTTAACTTCGCTGTCGCAGTAATTAAGCTGATGTGAAAATCTTCGACTTGCTACGAACACAGCGAGCGGGTAATTAAATGACCCACCCGCCGGTGGCAGGAAGAACCGCTGACTTAATGCCGCTGCACCGCTGATGACATCACTTCACCTTCACAGCTGCACCACGGCCATATAGAACATACATATAGCACCACCAGAGATCCAAAGCACCACCCCCGGATCAATGTCATCGACTGCAACGACAGATTTATGACAATCCGAGGGACTTTCGCCCATCTGGGGTCTCATGCTCACCTGACAGCTGATGGCCCGTTGGAGGCCCGAAACTTTGAAATCAACATTTCAATTTGTTGGCGGCTGCCGTTCTGGCAATTTGGTGTGAAAAACTTGTAGCTATTTTTAAGTCATCAAGAGCAACAAGAGCAGAAACAACCGGAGTCGCCGGCAACTTTTATTGCCCATGTGCTGGGCATGTCTTCGTGCCAATTGCGTCATGGCAGGCGAAATGTGTCAAGTGAGCGGTGACTGATGTGGCGAGTAACAAGGAGTAGTGGCACACTGGGCGAAAAAGGGCTACAGAAGTTGACACTTCTTAAAAATGTTCCACACTTAATGACAGAGAAATTGTTCTGAGTCTTTTTAAACAGTATAGATCTTTTCACATGCTTTCTGTTGAAAATCGTTATATATTTTAAAAAGAGATAAGCCTTTCCTTTTCCTAAAAAATATTATTTTATAGTATATGATATCCAGTTCTGGGTTCTTCTAAGAAAAAGCTTCTGGTAAATAATAGTTTATAATATTCTATTCTGAAAATAGGATAGTCAATTAGTTAATTTAAGAGGAAAGCCACTTACATATTGGTGATATATCATCAAAAACAGTGGCTGATATATCCATACATACATTTTTTACCAAATATAATCTGTATGCCTGAGGTAATATTCAGCATTCCAGCTCGTTTTCTTTCAGTGCAGGGGTATTACCAACTACTTTTATCCCCAATCCCCCTTTCGAGTCGTGTTGCATGCAAGAAGCGTGCATAAAAATGTTCCATTCAAGCACTGGAATTAAAAGTAACGAGAGCCGCTGTGGCAGGAGTGAAATGTAAAATGTAAAATGTAAAGGAACCCGGGAGCAGGCACTCGAAATGGCGTTGGCTTTATTCCGGCAATTGTCTGAGACAGTTAACCCCACATAGAGGCACGAGGATGTTGGATGTGAACACTGTACATACACTGTACATACGGCATATAGCCGACTCTTGAGCCGCTGTCATTGTCAATGTCTCCATACAAATGCGCCCGAGATGCCTGAAATGGCGTAACAAGCGAATGAGTTTGAGTGCCCAGCTCATTCCACATCGCAGGCAACCCAAAGCAGGCGGAAAATGTGGGTGGCGGGACAATAATTTTCCTGGAAAGTGGGTGGTTGGTTGGACTGGCTGACTTTTCCCACGCAAATTCGCTGCACGCGCAATGCTAATCTGCTTTTAATTAAAACCAACTCGCAATGGCAATGGCAAAATGTCTAAGAGGCTTCCTGCCTTCAGTTAGCTAATTGTCCTTTGTCATTTGTTTTTTTGGCCAAAAAATATGCCAACGACAAGCGAGGGCTACAGTTACATATGTGGAAATTCCCTGGGCCCAAATGGCAATTACAATACAAATGTTTTTTGGCCTGACAGTGACTGCTTTCGTTCGGGTCACAGAGGTTAAACTCAATAAGTGTATCACAGCCAATTAAAATGAATGGAATTAAATACGATGACAAAGGAAAGCAGACAATTAATTTCTTGACTTTCTTTTACCTTTTTGCCATAGGTCGAACATAAATGTTATATATCTATTGTTTTGAAAATTCTAAAAAATTATGTCGTTTATTTTATTGTTTTATTGTTTTTGATTAAAATATACTACCACTAAAAAGAATTTTAAATTCATTTTTGCTTAAAGACAATATTAATTTTATTTATGTATCCGCAATAGATTGGAATATTATATTCATATATGATATTCATATTCATAGAATAAATATTGATAATAAGAATAAAGTAAGCTGAGTCCAGTCAAATTAAAATAATTTTAATTAAATACTCTGACAATGGCAGAGCATTAGTATATAGAAATTTTAAAAGCTGACCGCAATTATTTAATAGGTTTTCTAACCATTTAATCGCCTGCTAAAAACAAACACCATCATTTTATTTCTCTGTCCTTTGTTTGCCAACACACATTCGTTTTACAAATCATGATAAATGGCAAAATATTAGGTAAAATCAATCAAAAGTTAAGAACGGATGGCACCAAAAAGCCAAAAACAGCACAAGCATATAAAATATGTCAAACACAATTAATTATAAAATTCATAAAACAAAGCCACAGGCATAAAAACAACAATTGAGGCCATAAAAGCGTCAGAGAGGGAAAAATGCATGAAAAATGCGACAGACAAAATTATCATTCATAATAATTTGTACAAACAAACAGGGAAAAGCTGAGGGAAAGTGTGGAAAACAAGGGACAAGGGAAATGTTTGCAACAGTAGCCTAGGTAAACAAAAGAACTGGGGGGATTGCGATGGGGCAATAGAATGTTTCACGCCGAGGCAACAATTACAAAAAATGATGTTTTATTTAAAATACCAGACAGCAAACAAGAGGGGGGTTTTTTAAAGGGGGGCTGCCAGGGGGCTGCAGACGGGGAATAAAAATAACAATGCAACAGCAGTGATAATGTTGCCGGCAACACATGTTTACAGCAGCAGTCAGAACCGCAGATACAACAACAACGGCTGGCAGCAGACTCCAAATCATCATCCCTTCCCATCCCCCATAAAAAAAGATTTCCGACGCCTGTGCACACATTTTAATCAATAAACAAACGTGAAAATATGACAAACAAATTAATAAAATGCAGCAAACGCTGGCCCAGACAATGACAAAATATTAAAAATGAATCGGAGGGCCCTTCGTGATCGTTGGAGGGGGGATAGCGGGGGAAAATGCCGGGGAAAATTCGAGGGGACAGGTCTATATATAGCGAAAGAGCCGCAACATCCATCCCTTTTCCACTCGGCCGTCGACTAATTGTGACAATTCGGTCTCACACAAAATGGCATAATAAATGTTCAGCAGAGGAAATGATGTGTGAAGTTCAGGCCTTTATCCCCCTTAACCCACCACTGCGCTTAACCCACTACTTCCCTTAACCCCACCCCGCACCATCAATCGATGACCAAGCGGAAGTGATTTTTGGTTTCAGCGCACGATTTTCCGTCAGATGGAAATGCATGGAACAATGCTGATGCTGCCCCAGCAATTAGCCAAACTTTGCATACACTGAGAGAAAAGGTAGTAAAATCAGCAGCCTTTATTGGGAAAGAGATGTGAACTAACCTTAAAATACAAAAAGAGTTACGAAGAGAGTTAGTTAAAAGCAGTTAAAAATGAGACTTAGTAGTCCTTTTTATATTGAATACGCATTAAAATCGATCTAGGTTTTATAAAAGCTTAGCTCATATTTTATAAATCCAAATAATAACTAATTAAAGCATAATATTTTTCGTTTTAACACGCTTTAAAAACGTATTTATTTTTTCCGGTATTAAAAAAAATTAACATATGAAACAATTACTTTAGAATTTTATAATATCTACACTTATTCTTCAAAGATAACGATAAGAAAAATATCTATTGGTTAATTATGACTTTATTGGCATTTCAAATATAACATTTCATAGATCATCTCTTTACCAACCTGTTTATGTAAGCATATAAAGCTATAGATAGTATCTAATAGATACATTTTGGTGACATATTTCTCTAGGTGCGACCAGCACCAATGGCCCTTCTTTGTTTAGGAAGCAATTGCCGAACAATACCAAAACAGGAAGAGCAGAACTCTTTTTTTTAAGGGGTCTACTCGTAGTTTGAAGGACTGGCGGCAAATGTGCGGTTTCCTGCAATGAAGCGCATAATTGAGCATTGGGGGAAAGTCGTAAATAATGCAAAACCCGATTGCTGCTGGCCGATGAAATAACCAAATCCAAATTGGATGCCTTCGAGTGGACGGCCTGCTAATTAGTCCCCGGGTCGCGTTTTTGTGCCCCCGAGCGATTTGAGAAAGGTCATTGGGCATGGGCATGGTTCGTGTGTCGTGGGGCATGGATACTTCCTATCTCGGGTCCCTGAACGCATAAATCAATCTCGAAAACGGTCGCGGCACGTGACGATCGCCGGAATTTTTATTTGGAACTTTGTACGCTTTACGAGACAGCAATAAAACTAATATTTCAGCCTGTGTCAACAACTAATTGAGGCATTCTCTGCCTTCATTTTTTTTTTCATTATATTGCAGGGCGTAATTCTGGAGCAGCATATGAAGTAATTAGGAGCAGCACTAAAATCGTCCATAAACGTCAAAAGACAAACAATTTCGCGGAAGAGGAACAACTGCTAGACATTGCCATCGACGTTTTCCAGGCAACATGTTGTCGGCAGGCGGCAGCAGCAGAAGCAGCAGCAGCAGCGACGGCAGCAACATCAACTGACAGCAGCAACACCAACAGACAGCAGCAACATTCGAGCATTCAGTCGCAATTCTGACGATTGCGTGACGCGTTCGCATCGCGGCAATGAAAGAGATAAAAAATCTTGAAAAGAAAGAGAACGAAACAGTGACGAGGATAAAGTTTTTGGTGCAAAGTATAAATTGAATATATGCATAAACAACCAAACAAAATACGTAAAAAGTGCAAGTCAACAAGAAATATTTAAAAATAAATTAAAATAAATTACCAAACAAACGCAGACACAAACAAATTTAAAGTATAAAATAAATTAGCATAATTTAGCAAGGACTTGACAAGACAAGCAGACATTCGTTTCGCACTTAATTAGTGTCTAAAAGCGTTGACAATGTGGCAGACACTATCAACTTTTAGCACATCACTCAGAGCAACACAAACAGCAGCAGCACCAGCAGCAGCAACACCAGCAACTTGCAACTGCAGTTGCAACTTGGAAAACGCGGAAATGCCAAGTCACATGTTGCCATCACCAGACATCGCGACAACAGCAATGCGTAGGTGTTGCTGTCGCACAAAAATCACCCGCAGCAGCAGCAGCAACAATAGTTGCAACTACAGCGGCAACATCCTGCAATGGCTATTGCTACTGTGCCTTCTCTGTGGTAAGTAGAAGCCGCCAAATGAGCCATGGTCGAGTGCAGTAAGTGACTTTTAACAAAACGCGCTTAAATGTCTCTGATTTAGTGCGCCACGCCCCGGGGGCAAAACTCGTAGAAAAAACCGAGGGATAAAGTAGGGAAGACAAACCGCCAAACCAAAGTGATATAGAGATGTGCTGGATGAAAAAACTGCTGCAGTTTTAGCCCTTGAATAAGATATACAGGGGGAGAGTTGGGAAAAAAAATAAATAAAAACGCTCAACACAAATCAAGATGAATTTCCGTGCATTTTTGTGCAGATTTCTGTACAGCTTTGGCCAAAAAAAAAGCAGAGACAAACACACATGGGCAGCCAAAAAATATAAAAAAAAGGGAGTCGGAAACCGACACACAACGCTTGGTTTTGGGTTCTTTTTTATTCGCTACAACTGCCACAGCAGCAAAAAATGGCTAAACAGCAAAGAAAAACATTTGAAAATAGCGCCAAGAAATGGAAGAAGATTAAATGGCAACCGATGGGGAGGGGGAGGGGGGATTGCTGGGCGGTACGTCAGCGCAATATAAATTGACTCGTGTTTTTCATTTAAACGTTTTCGCCCCCGTCCCATTCGCTTTTTGCTGCCTTCAATAATTCGACTGCAGCAGCTGCAGTTGCTGCCACTTAAACCTGAAATTAACTTTGGCCCAGGAAAGTATGCAGCGAAGGAACATGGCAAATCGGTCTACGTGAGCCGGCCACACACGTATGTGCCGCACTGTACAGTCTGCACTTGTGGCTCTCTGGTTTTTCCTTCCTTTTTTTTTCGTGGCCAGCTTTTCCCTCCATCGCTGTATGGCTTGATTATTTCGTTTGGAATTGATGCTGCCATCAATTATAGAAAACCACAAAGAGGGGCAAGACAGCACGACGGGAAAAATGAATCCGGTTAGCAAGGCACCAGACTCAGATGCGACTACATTGAAAGAAATGCTAATTTTTATAGGGCTTTATATAAAAAATCCTTATAAGAGCCAGGGTTTTCAGGTCTTATTCAATATATTGAAATGCATTTAGGATGCACCACATAGCCTTCCATTTTTCTATTTAAACAGTCTAAAACTAATCTTGAAATTAATAATACATCAGTTAATCAATCTCTTAATAAATAATCTTTATAATATGAATGAAAAGCTATCTAAAATCCATAGAATCCATCACTGGGACCAATATAAATATTTTTTTAACTTAAACTTAATCTTCAGAATTATATTTTTGATAAATCAGCCTCATTAGTTACACAAACTCTTCATATTCACTAAGCGTATTTTCAGATCTAATTACCAATTTTCTATATCTACGAGTATCGTTTCCCCCTAAAAAACCTCAGTGTGGACCAAGAGTAATGGACAGTTGGCGTGCAATTGAGTTTCCATTGCCGCTGGCTGATTGGTTGGTCGGATGGCTTTAAAGCCATCGCTTTGTAATCGATGGCTCCGCAAAAGCGCTGGCCAATGCTAAAATAAACCGAAATCAATTTGGTTAAGCCCCCGACGAGGAGGCAGACCGACCTACCCACCAACACACCGCCCACTTAACTAATCAGGATAAATAAATATTTATAATTAATTTAAAATATAAACAGACGAGGAGAGCGCAATTAATTTGGGCTAGTTCGTGGGCCAGGAAAGTGGAAAGTGAGCGGTGAGAAGGCGGAAAACTTTCATTTTGATAACAAGGCAAACAAGCAAAGTGCTCATCGCCCAAGATTCGGGCATATGAATAAATGACTGAATGCATGAATAAGCAATCAACAATAATGGCCCCGAGTTGCGAAATCGGGGTTGGCCAAAAGAGGGGTAGTGGATGGGTGTTGGGGTTCGCTGAAGGTGAATGGTGAGTGGTTCGGAGATGGGGATTTTATGAAAATATATGCACAGATTGGGGCTGGGGTTTCAAGGCTGCCAACTGGCCATGGTCAAGTGCCAGGAGGTGCGAACGGGATGCCCAGCTAATGAGCCCAGTCATCAGGTGTCGACCAAATGGATGGGGTAGTGGAAACAGGATGATGGGTAGTGGGTGATGGGTGGTTCTACGCGGTTGAGGATACGCCCCGGTGGGCGGTGGAAAGCGAAAGAAAAAGGAAAGTGCGTGAGCCTGCGCGTGCTTAATGAACTGCAATCAATGGCCAGTGCCAGTCGATAAGAAACCTGAAAGGCGTCCAACAGTGCGTGCAACATGGTGTTGACCGCAAATGCACACACTTGAAAAATCAGGCACTCTTGAAAAAACTTAAATACATCCGAAAAAGGTTATAAAAGGGTCAGGGCTGGCATTTATAACGATTTTCTTAGGAAAGATCTGTTGTTTTTTATGAATCTATCTCTTTAAAACTCATGTTTTCCAAAAATCCTTTCCTTTACCCTGTTTTCTGTCATTTAATATAAAATGTATTGTCGTTCTATTTGATTTTATATCAAATCTGACTATTTTTGTTTGGGTAATACATTTTTAAAAGTGGAAATCGTTTCTTAAGCTTATTATAATTTTTCTGTTATCGAATTTAATAGATTAAAATTTAACTTTTATTAAATTAAAGATCTTTGACATATATTCTCCTAAAATTATTATCCTAACATATTTCAAAGAGCAAGAAGATAAAGTTTTTAGAGCATTTTGTATGGCCTATGGTGGAAAGTTGAATAAATCTTCATTAAAGTCTTTAAGACCAAGCTTTAAAAAGGAAATCCCTTCTAAAAATGTATTTTTAATCATATGATTTAATGTATATCGATAGCCAGAGATTTACAAAGTCTCCCGTTCAATCGCATTAATTACGCACATTTTGTGGAAATTTATTTAAGCCAAAACACCAGAAAAGGGGCAGACACGTGTGCCAAAGAGGGAAAAAGCTGGGACAGGGCTCACCCCTCGCGTGAATCGGTTTTGGGCGTGAAATTGCTTTCAACATTTAATTACAAAAGGTTCGTGCGGTGGTTTATTTCTGGCTCATCACCGCACTTTTGTGCCAACCGATTTGCCACCACTATTCGCTGCAATTTGTTATCAGAACCCAAACACGCACCTCACCTGCGGATTGAGGATTGCGGATTCGTTGTCTTTGTTTACCTGGTCGTGTGTGTGTGTCTGATGTTTTTGGGATAAATTAAAGGGATTAGATTAGCCCAGGAGGAAGCTGCACGTGTGTGCATGTCTGTGAGCCAAGCAATTAGCCACAAAATCAATTTTACACAGAACAGCCGAAGTAATCAACGCCTCGAGCCAGAAACAAAGCGAATCATTCCAATCGGTTAGCACCATTATCGATTGAAGCCTCTCGAAGGTGCTTCTATTAAATTAAACTACACAAGTGTGAACAACATAATAAACCACAACAAGGGGAGAAACAACTATAATGCCACGGCTATATTGTCAGCAATAATGGTAGCGGCATGGAGCCTTTTCTGGGGCTTTGTGAGCCAACTGTGTGGTATAAAATATAATTGAATTGATATGATACGAGGCATTCGAACAGGCCCGAACAACAATGGCCACCCACATGGCAGACATTCATTTTTATGTTTATTGGCAGCATGCAAATACGAAGCTCAAAAGTCGGAGATGAAAGCCCCATATGTATGTATAGTTGGAGAAGATGTGAAGTCGCATCCGATAGCCCATGTCCTGTGACAAGCTTATTGATGACTGCTGGCCAAATGCAGAAATTCTTTCATAAAAAAGGGAATGCCAAACGTATTTATAGCCTTGAGGGTACAAAAAATTAACAGCCAAAAAAAACTGTCTGACAGAAGTATACCATAATTAATATTGTGAAAGAATTTCTGATAATCCTTAAATGTCAAAACGAATCAATATCTTTAACTTAAATGTATTTATTATTTATTATATTCTCAATGTCTTTAATCAACAATTTCATTTAATAAAGTGCATAAATTCCTTTAAACTAAAAAGATGACCAATACCAGTCATTTAAAAGTAAATTTCTGGCCAGACTGTCGACAAATTGATTCATAATTAATCACAGTCTAAGCATTTCAAACCTCCCCTCTTCCCGTTAAAGATTATACAGTCCATCTCTCCCCGAAAACATAATTCATCATGACAAGTGCATTAAAATCCCCTAAAAACATTCTGACTGTAGGAATTAGCAATAAATGTTGGCCAAAAATGTTAGTTGAATGGCAAGTTTTCATAACGCATAAAAACTATAAAAACTTTTCAACATTTCAATTCATAATTCAACACATAATTATATCATGCCGGCTTTGTCTATCTCCACTCGACCACTCTGTACCCGTCTCTTTCTCCCGGCCATAGCGCCATCTCTTTCGCCCCATTTCTGTGGACTGCGGACGAGCGAAATATGTCAGAAACTTTTCAAAACTGTAACAGCGCCAATTTGTCTACAAAAACGTTGACCGTAGACCACTCACAATCCCCTAAAACATTTTACCACCCACTTCAAATGTAATTTCAACGCCAATTTGGCTGTGTAAAATTTATGCAAATATTTCCCTGCTCTCTCTCTCTCTGTCTCTGTCTAATATATACCGTTGTAGTTGCTTATGCATTATGCTAAATAATTGCTAGCATTTTTTTCGCATTGCGAAAGTTATACGTTATTGCTGGTACTTTTTAGTATTTCGTATAGCTGAAATATTGCGTTAATTATCACGAAATGCCACAGAGTGTATACGTATATAGAATACATACATATTCTTTGCCCAGAGGCGTCTGTATCTGTTTGATCCTGTTTGTGTGTGGGTGTGTGTGTGTGCAACCACGCAATTTATATTTTTGTTAATTTTGTTCATTTTTGGCCACGCGTAATTACATGAAGAATTCATGCGTAAAATTTTGTTATTGTCTTTGGCGTCGTAAATTGTTTAACTTTAAAACATTTATTGGATGTTGGCCGTATCATCCGAAAAACCAATTTTCACTGCTGAATGGGAAGAGGGGGGAGTTTTGAAAGGATGTTTTTATAGGGGTTGTGCAAAGCAATTGACAGCGCGGCTAAGAAAACAGAACTTGAAAACTAACATTAAATATTTAAAAGAAAAAGTGGCTCCATAACGGTCTCATAATATTAAAAGAAGAAAATGTACTTTAAAGTTTAATATTACCCCGAAAAGTGCTGGAAAAATGGTTGAGCTGACGTTAAGTTAAATTAGTTCTAGTGGTTTTCCAACATCTTATCGCTCTCTTGTTCTTCGCGTCTGCCTGTCTTTAGGACAATAAAAATATTACCCATAAATTATCACAAGTGAGTTCATCACATGGCTTTCACATTCCCGCATTTTCCATTTTCCACCGGTTTTCATTCACTTCGAGTGCCCCCAATTCGCATGTCTGCGAAAAGTTCGTCTGGCTTTAGTTTACCAACAGCTGGTTCCGTCCCCTCCTCGGCAGTTTTAGCCTTCCCTGAACCGGGGGCCAAAGGACCCCTTCTAAAAATCCACCCCCTCGACTTTACCGCGCTCATTTGTAACTAAATCTGGGCGAGTGCCGTGGCAAAAGTTTATGAGTGCGCTGGTTTTTCTACATATGCCAGGGGCGTAGTCATGAAAATGCCAGGGGGAGCAGTCTAAAGTCAGGATGTACATGCAAGACATTAAAAAAACGATGTGGTCTTAGAATATTGGTGTTAAATAACATCTGTATCCCAAATGATATGATAATTTATCTTTCAGACCCAAAGTACCATAACTTCTTTCTAGCTGATAAAGGATAAGAGAATTTCACCCCCTTCATAACGACACCCCTGGCACACAGACATGCATGCTTGCGTAAATATATGAGTGTTTGTGCAACTGCATATTGTCATAATGGTGAATGCATGATATATTGAATTTTGCAGTCAATAAACGTTTTATGATCACAGCTGCACATATTTCACAATTTTCCTTTCGTTTTTTCCCTCTTTTGTCATGGAAAAGTTGCATAAAAGTTGATGGCTTGGGGGCGGTGGGTGCATTTTGTAACAAGAGGAGGATAAACCCGTTGAGGGCAATCGAAAAATTTAAGGTCATTATGGGCAGCATGCCGCGTCCTCTGGCTGCAAATCGGGCTAAGCTGCTGCCGGCTGACTGGGCCCAAGTTGAAACAGATCCCTGGCAATCCATCGAAGGGCCATAAAGTTCTAGCAGTTGCCAGACAAAATCACTGCTGACAAGAATTCATCATCAATGCGCCTGAGCCCTCGTACTTTTTTCCCCATCGGCATTTGCCATATTCCACATCCATGTGAGGCTCTGCAGGATCAGGAACAGGAGTAGGAGCCACTTCAACTGCAGGGGGCTGACGTAGAGCTAAGCCCGGCCTAATTTCCAAAGGCAAATGGCCGCAGGCTCAAACTGCAGAGGCTGGAGTGCGAAAAAAATAGTAGGCATAAAATGAAACGAAGACAACACAACACAGGAAGCTGTCGATGAAAATGAAGATGAAACAGCAGGAGCACTGTAGTAAAAGCAACAAGCTTGAGTCGAGCGGATATTGAGCCACGCCCACGGGGCAGGAAAGGGGGCGTTTGGGGAGGACAGTGCGAGAAAAAAATAGCACCTAAATTGGGAAACAAATCTAGATTTATGTTGTGTTACTTGCTTTGAATCGTAATTCTTAGAAACATTGTCTGGGTAATCTACATAGCCTTATACTTTTTTTAAAAACAAATTTACTTAGTTGTTTTGTTTTTATGAATTAGAAAACAATAATTTTAGAGAATAATAATCTACCATAAATCAGAAACATTTGAAACATTGTTAGAATAATGTTTTTCGCTACGAATTATAAGTAAAGCTCATTTTTATCTAATTCTATTTCATATTTTTGGGCTTAATACCGAAATATAATTTTATAACATACCAGTTTCAGATATAATATAACATTTAGAAACATTTTCTTTTATTTTATTTATATTTCTATCCAAGACCAATATTTATTTCAAAATGTTTCATCATCGATATCCTTGCTCTTCCTTTTGAGACTTAAGTTTCTCTCAGTGTAAGGCCATTGATTATGCTGCGTTGCTATCACGATTTCTATTTGAAACAAAGCACAGGCGGAAAAATAGCAGTGCGAGGACAGAGCGGCCAGGAGCTGGGGCAAAAAAAAGGCTGCAAAGAGGTTTACAACTTCTCGTAAGGCGGCTTAAACGATTTGCGAGTTTATGGAAAGCCAAACACACTCTCAACGCAAACACACACGTCGAAGTCATATGGATGTGTCTGTCTGAGCGTGTGTGGGTGCCGAGAATAAGCGGCGGGGTCGGAGGTCGGCGGTCGGGGGTCGGGGGTCGGGCATATTGTAAAACAAATGGAAAATTGCTTTTTGATGTAGTCAGTCAACTTTGCCTTGCCGGCTGCCTGCTGCCATCATCGACAACGATGACGATGATGGGAATGGAGATGGAAAATGGAAAATGGGAAATCGGGAGAGGAAAACGAACAAGCGATGAAGATCAGTGCTGAAGGCAAAGCCAGCTATTTCAAAATTGGTCACTGCTAGGAAAATTTCAGTAAGCAAGTACCTTTAATCGGGCAGGATATCTTTTTCTATTCCTTTTTTCATAATTATATTAATTGGAAAATTATTCAAGAAGGTTCATTTAAAATACTTCTATAAATGGCATGAATCCAAAATTTAAACATTTATGGAACAACCGATAAATACCGAATTAAAAATAATTTCAAATTTGAGATTAATGATAAAAACGATTAAGATAAAAATAAGTTTTGAGAAAGCTATCCATTAATATGCATTCCAAAACATCACCCAATTAAGTCTTAAATATTTTTAAAACACAGGATCCACTAGAGTTTTTAAAAAATTAATATTATTTTGACTTTAAGTCAAGGAACCTCCAAAAATCTAAGTTGCAGCCCTGTGTTTTTAAATCATTATGAATTGCTTAATATCTGTGCTGGCCAATATTTAACGATAAACACAATATGAAGTTGCCAGCACTGATGGAGACGGGTTCGTTGTTTGGCCCGGCTGGCAAGTTTTAAGGCTTTAAGCGCCCAAGAGTATGCTGCACTTTCAGCGGCTGCAATTCTTAATCCCATGGGGCTTATGGGGGAGAGCCAAGAAAAGGACCACGATGATGATGGAGATGACGGTGATGACGATGGCGCAGCCACTGTCGCCAGATTCAATATTGCACCACGCTCCTGAACGGCTATGCAAATGCGTGTATGTAGAGCCAGTGCAGAAGGCTTTTAAAATAACAAAGGGGGCCCGACAAATCTCCTTTAAAATTGAACCCTACAGGCGGAACCCTTTACTATGCACTCGAAAAATATCAAAGCTTAAAGGAAATTATTGAAATAATAAAATGATGCATTGAGTACCTTACAAATTATTACTTCTCCTATGTAGTCTTTACTGAAATCTTAAGAGATCTTAACAAAAAGAAGCTAGGAAGCTAAGTCATTTGTTAAGTTATAGGTTATCTGTATATAAAATATACGGAATAATCCTTAAAGAACTGATATATTTTTAGCCAAAACTTTAAGGGAACTTACTGTTTTTCTCGCTGTGCACTTAATCCCAACTGTTATGACACCGCATCCAGTATAATGAATTTCACCTGCCTTCCAGATTTCGGGCAGGCGGCGCTTCGTGACGTGAATCTGCTGGTGCAGCCACCGGCGGTTCGAAGGGGTCAATCGGTGGCCCTGCGGTGCGATTACCAGCTGGAAGAGGCACCCCTGTACTCCATTAAGTTCTATCGCGGCCAGATGGAATTCTACCGCTACACACCGGGCGAGTATCCCCACACCAAGGTCTTTCAGTTCCCCGGCATCCGAGTGGACGTAAGTTGCTGCCCTTAGCGGAGTTCGGAGCTCATTGTTTGACGGAACGGGTTGGGTGTTTTTCCAATTTTCCCCGCAGGAGAACGGCTCGAATGCCACCATGGTGCTCATCCGCAACGTTAGCTTCACCCTGTCCGGACTATTCAGCTGCGAGGTTACGGCGGATGCACCGCTCTATTCCACCGCCACCGCCTACGCCCATATGCAAGTTGTGGGTGAGTATCTCCTGCCTTCCTGGGCATTCGAGTATCTGGGTATCTCAGTATCTGACGGCAACTCAGGGCCATCTGACAATGACAAACAGATCCTGTCTCATTAGTCGCAGGCAAAGGCGTGACTGCAAAGTGCGGCGAACAATGGTCCAAAGATGCGCCCTTGTCGCTCCACTGCCAGCAATTAAGAACCCAGGTCCTGGGTAAACACTTGTGTACTTGGGGAAATAGTGATTTGAAGGAAGAGTTCCTTAGCTTTTGAATAGTTGAAATGAGAAGTATATTTGTGTAGATATTAAATACAAATATTTAAAATAATGATAGTGATTTTAACTTAAAACCTTTTAAAATGGAATTTAAATTTAACTAAACTTTAAGCTTAGATTTTTTCATAGCGTATTCAAATAATATACTCAGAGTTTAATTAAAGTCAAAGTCCTGTTTTTTTTAGAAGTGTTCAACTACCATTTGTTTATCTCATGATTTATTTTCTATTTTCAGAGTTTCCGGAAAAGCGTCCAAGTCTTTTTACGGAACACACGCGTTATGAACCCGGTGATGTTTTGCGAGCCAACTGCAGTACTCTGGGTTCTCGTCCTCGAGCTGACCTTCGTTTTACCATCAACAATATACCCGTAAGTAATATTATCATAAAGCATCCTAAATATAGGTACAAATGCAAACAAAATACGATTACGTGTCAAGATCCCCGGGTTAGGATCTCCGTAAATTCCCAGGACCCCGAGGGCAAAACGCTTTACAATCGGCAATTAAAATGTCTTACATCATGCCGCGCATTGATTGTTAATTAATGTCTGGCTGCGCTAAGATGTTTGGGAGGAGTGCGTGGGGGATTTGCCTAATTAAACAGCTTTGACTTGCCTAACGGCATCGTAAATCCTTTATAATGGCACCCACCACTCCTTTTTGGGAACATGTGTGGCCTTCGTTTAATCCACTGAGACGTGCCTCACAAAATTTGTTCTTTATTTATGAATATTATGTAATTTAATCAGAGCCAAGCGACCGAATTACAGGGGCTCTCATCTTACCTACTTAATTAAAAATTTCAAGTCGAAACCCAAACAAGAAACCGCAAGGCGAAGAATACCCTTGGGGGCAAAATGAAGTCAATAAAGCAAAAAAGGGTTGTGTGCCAGGATTTTGATTTGATTCTGCGATTTCCCTTTTTTGTCATTTATCATAACGTCAAGGATGTGGAGGAGAGGCTCAGCAAACAAGTCGTCTGCATATAGATATAAACAGCTAGGGTCATATTGGTAGTACCAAAGATGGCTTGAAGGAAAAGGAGAGTATCTCGTTTAGGACTCACTTGAATTTTGTAATATTATGTTGTAAAATAAATAAACTGGATGACACACAAAAAATCTGTATTGATTTTAAAGTGCTCTAAAGTATCAGTAAAATAAAAGTATCTTTAAACGGCATGTCCCTATTTATTTTGAGCTACTGTTCATATACATATATCTACGATATGGGGCTCTAACATCATTAGTCATTTGAAGGACGCTTCCATTTCTGCATCAATTCTGCGAGCGCCGCTAATCAGCTGCATAAATCAACAAAGAAATGCTTCCGGCAATCGTTTTAAAGCAATGCCAGATCCCAATTCTTTGACCTGATCCCGAAATCCTTTTCTGTTTCCTTTTTCGCCCAAAATGTTATTAATCATAGCCGAGACATAAAATAAATTACGTTCAACTTGTGGCAAAAACGAAATTGCCGGACGGGCCAGTGGACAAAATGGCCAAAGGACAAAGGACAATGGACAACGGTTTTTAAATGAATTTACGAGATGAACAAATTTTCAACTTTTCTACGATTTCCCAGGGTGCGGGCATGGGGACCACCAACCAACAAAAAAAAGAAAACCAAGAAGAAAACTTATTAAACGCTTCATAAATTTTTATATTATGTCTACCCACATCATCAGACATAACGTGTCCTCCTCTGCCAGTCTGCTTTGTTTCTTTTTTTTTCTATATTTCCACTGCGAGGGATGGTTATCCTGTCGTTTTATATCTGTCAGCGGTAGTCTACTTTTCGGGGCTCTCGCACACACATGCTGCCAGGACGACTCACATGCAGGCCGTTTAACATTTTATCTAGACTTCTTCCCAGCCAACTAATGACAAAAGCCGAGACAAAAGTACGCCGCTGCGTTTGAGGATTGCGAATAGTAGGGCCTCGTCTCCCCGTCTGTCACATAAAATTTTATGTCTACACAGGGGAAAATGTTAAAGGATTCGGTCGTTAATTTGGGATTTTTCAAGATTTTCTGTTGTTAGGGTTCCGAATACCATAAAATAAATCAAGGTATGGTAAACGAAAGACATAAATTCCTAGTAAATTTAACTAAAATTTAAGGTGCCTTAAAATACATCACTTGAAAGGGTAAACTCAAGTACAAACTTCTAGGAACCTCCATATAGTTTTCTTTCTGTGGTTAGGGTTTCGAATACCAAAAAAATCAAGGTATACTAAAATTCCTAGTAATTTTGACTAACATTTAAAGCACCTTAAAATATACCACTTGAAAGGTAAACTCAAGTACAATTTTTCCAAGAACCTCGACATACTTTCCTTGCCAATAAAGTACCATAATATTTTTCCCTATGCACATCGTGTTTATTTTTCCAGCGAAAACGACAAGGGGATAGCAAAAGGATGGCAAATCCATTCCGGTGGCAATGGCCGTGCAATTTAGTTTCATATGCCCGGGCAGTAGATGCCTTTTTGATATTGAATTATGATCTGAGCGCCGGAGCTGTTCTCGCTCTTTAAATTAGATAGAAGGCCAGGGATAATACTCTGTCACACAAAACAATGCCATAAATAATTCCGAGCTGAAAGCATTGACCCAGCACGTGTTGAGTTCGAGATTAAAGCTTTGCTCGGAGATAGACACTATATATATATATATATGGTATCCACATGTGTGTGACCCACTGCGTTGGAGGGGCGAAAAAAACTTTAACGACTCACATAATTTGTTAAAAAGTTTCTGTCATATTAATGGAAAAGTAGCTCAGAATGTGTTGGCCTTTATTTTTTCTGGCTGCCAACCGTGTTTCTTTTATGTGGGTGATTCGGGGGAATTAGTTGAGATTAGGACCAAAGTCTGGCCATTAGACGTGCGGATTTGTGCGGCCATCGATTTTTGATAAATTATTTATTGAGCACAGAAAACTAGGGACATAATTAAAGCTTGGCTTACCCATGATTAATGGATGCCCCTGTCTCGGCGAAATCGATAAGACCGAGTCCGAAAAGGAGCGCAAATTAAAGGCAGAAATATTTAGGTGCAAATAACATAATAATAGCAATTTCGCATTGTTAATACCAAGATCGGCATGTATTAATTTTCCACACAATTTGCATAATCCCATCTAGGCAGAAATTATCAAGGCGATATTAATTGCCAGGCCATCAAAATAGAGAGTTGGCCAGATAGCAGCAGGCCAAAACGCAAAACAAACTTTCTTGTTTGAAAACAATTTGCTGGTTCGAAAGTGTTTAGGCCAGCAAATGCCAAATGCTCATTTAATTGCCCAAAGGCTGAAGGTTGAGGGTACGGGTTTGGGTTCTAGTTTGGGTTTGGGGTCGGGTTCTCGATGCCATAAAGGTAAATCACAAGAAATATGAGGGTATTTTCACTTTCGGGTCGCTGCCTCAGCCACATGCTTAATTAAAGCGCTTGGCTTCTTAAGAGTGTCTCGTAAATTACGCGGCATTAAATCGGCAGAGCGAGATAGCACATGGCAAAAGGAAAGAGATGGCGATAGAAAGAGGGGAAACGAAAAGAAAGAGACGGGAAGTGCGGCAGGGCAAACTGAAAATGACTTTTTATGTCGCTGCGTCTGGGCTTTTCCGCTGCCAGCATAAAAATAAAAATAAAATTCAAATAAATTAAAAAGGATAAGCCAAAAAACGCACAAAACCCAAAACAAAGTGGGGGAGTATGTGTTTGGGTGAGATGCTGTTCTTAAAAAGGGTTAAAAGAGCGACCAACAACAAAAAAAGCCAGCGAGCGCTCGGCAATAAAGCGCTTTTGCTTTTAATGTTGTGGGTGAGTGGTGGTGGGGAAGTGAAGGTGAAGAGATCCTTGAGAGCCCTTGCACAGGGAGAAATAAGTGCTGGGACTGAGAAAAGGCAATAAAAATAAATAAATATTAGGTGCTTTCCACAAAAAACACTACACAACCAATAAGAGTTGAGATTAGATACATTGCTAAGGCCAAATTTCATTATTAAATAATTTTTTAAAATTCCATAAAATTTTTATAATTTAGTGGAGTACCTCTTAATGAATTTTTTCCCCAGTGCACCCCCTTAGCTGACCCAAATTCCCGCAAAACCCGTAATATCTTGCACCTTTTTGTCTTGAAGGGGGCCAAAATACATGCATAAGTAAATGGCGCTCAAATGAGTTTGTAAGTGGAAATGAAATGCATATTTATTGTATTTAAATTGCCAGCGAGTTTTCCGGCGCATCTTTTACCCCGGCTTAGCTCAGGTTGTCATGTGAACTTTGCTGCAGAGAGTTGCGGGGTACGGATGTGGAGATGAATCAGCAACAGGACATGCAGCAGAGCGGAAATGGCAGCAAGAGCGTTTTCAAAATGGCGCCTGCATTTCCCGCCATCTTTTTTTCGCACTGCAACAATGGACGATGCGCCATTTGCGACTAAAAGCATTGCACGGCAGTTTAGAGTTTTCTTTTCGCGCCAAAAGGAAATTGTGTGCGAAGCAAAAAGGAGAACTCAGGCAAATGAAGCGGAAAGCTAGCACAGGAGTGTCGCATATGCATGGGGAAAATATACATTAAATATATACACATCAGCAGTCAAGCTTAGGCGTTGCTGTTGGTGTCATGGCGGAAATGAAATTTTCAGCGCTTCTCAAAAGGCATCAAATAAACAGTTTTCCATGGCAAAACAGCCTTCAGATGGACAGACACACACACACACACATTCGTATACACTCGAACAAAATGCCGGACACTTTGGAGAGGGGCAAAAAAAAAAACAGAGCCAACCAGGCGGATGAGTGAATAAGTGTCTCTTGATGTTGCTGTTGTTGCCATAGTTGTGTGTAACATTGAAAACTCGTTTTTAAATGGCATTGGCCAGCAGCAACAACAATCGCAGCAACAACAACTTGGCCAACAACTCGCCACAAACAACAACAAAAATATGACATGCCCATGTCCGTTCGTTTCGTTGGCTTTCAGTGTCCGTTTCCTTGCCTCGCAGCTTTCACTGCATTTTCCATGGCCAGGCCAAAAAGCTCAGCACACTCCTCAGATGCACTGAGAAAAATTCGTTCAAATATTTTTAGTTGTTTTAATACTCTGGTAATACAAAATAACCTATAGAAATATTCTAGAGTATTTTTTTCGACTTCGTTGATATATGTTTAGACTAAAAACGTTTTTCATCTATTAACAGTCGTTTTTCAATCATGTTTATCCAACTTATTTATGATGATAATAAACACATACATATTTTAATATACATATACATCTTTAATCTGTTTTATAAACTCACGCAATATTTTTCTCAGTGAATTGGTCAAAGGATTGGTCACTGGCAAGCAGCCATGGCCGCAAGTGCAACATGCTTGTATTAACCCCACACACACAAATGTACACGGACAGAAAAGGGGGCGAGTTGGAGAATCAGACAGACGACAAATTGCCATTCATATGCAGTTGCACAAAACTCAATGCGAAACTCTAGTATTTTTTCTCTTATTTCCCCCTTTGCTGCTGGTATTTCTCCTTTCTGCCTGCATGCTGGAACATTATTTTCTGACTTGTGTAAAAAGGAGTGACTGCAGCGGGGTTAAAGGGTAAAAGGACGAAGGGGTAAGGGGGAAAAGGATGAGGGTGAGGGCGTCGGAAACGGAAGAGAAAATCAGTTGCAACTGCAATTGCAGCTGGAAGCACGCCATGAATAATTTAAAGCATATTTTAGTTCATGTAGCGGCGGCTTTCGATTAGTATTCAAAATGACAAAAGCCCCAACAATATTGTGGTTAAAGTAGGGGATTGATTTGATTGCTTACTCTTTGAGGGATTTGCAATCAGAATAGAGGCTTTCAGATATGCAATGGGTTCTGGAGTCATGTAAAAGGATTTTTTATCATATTTTATTCACATATATCTGTGAGTTCAAGCCACAAAACTCTGAGTGAATGCCATATTTTTTGTACACCCATTAATATTTATATTTCTATATTTTCCAGGTCGGCACGGAGGAAACACAGTACATTCGATCGGTTGAGAACCTGATTGCATCCCGGCTCAGTCTGAAGCTGCAGCTGCAGGCGATTCACTTTGTGGCCGGCCTCAGTGGCCATGGAAATGGGAATGGTAATGGCAATGGAAATGGCAACGGCAATGGCCTCACAAACGCATTGCACCAGGGAAGCGGGGGCGGGGGACTCGTCCTGCGTTGCACGGCGCAAATTGGCGATCTCTATCAGGAGTACAAGGAAATCGAGCTGGGCACACCGCAAAAGGATCCGGTGCCGGCAAGAGGTAAGCCACAAAAGCAAAACTGCCAACGGCCACAAAGCACTTAAAGAAAAGATGTGGGTAGTTTACGTCTGCTAATAACCATACTGATTTAAGATTTTATTAGGAATAAGATCTTAGATGTCCATATCTTATTTTGAAGTCATTCTGAATACTTATAATTAGACAGAAGTTGGTATTATTACTTCTGCTTATCTTATTTAGCTGATCAATATTTAAAAAATAAAATAAAATCATAACATACAAAATTTTGAGAATATCCATTTGATGTCCTTCTGAAAATTAAGAGTTATCTGTATTATTTTTTCTTAATATTTAATTAACTGATTAAAATTTAACATAATATAATAATAAATCAAAAATATTAAAAAACTTCAAAATTAGTGGTTTTTAGGACGTTTATTTATTTTAATGAATCATAATCGTTATAAAAGGTAAACTTATTGTGAAGTGTTTATTATAGAATTCTTATATTCTATTTTGATATATCCCAGTTTTTGTACTACCATTATTTCCCTCTGTAAAAATACATCTGTTTGCCATTGCAGTGACGCTGTCGTCGGGATCCGGACTCCGTGGCTTCTTGGAGACCTATTTCGCAACATCCTCGGCCTGCAGCGCTTTTCGGGGGGCGCCGGGCTTTTCGGGGGGCGTGGCCATCTGCCTGGCCACCATGTTAACCCAACTAATTACTGGTAGCTAAATCGGGGGTCAGTCGGCTGGAAGACATGGACTTGGAGGGACTTGGCGAGTGTGTATGGCTTATCGAGCAGCGATGGAAATTAGGTAGCTCTCGGCCGTAAACTGCATTATTTATCTATATCGAATGCAATTTAAATTATACACACACAGATGCAGATGCGATTCCCGGTTAAGCTCACACATCCACACGAAAACCCTATGTAACTGTAAATATTTGCTTTAATGATGTGAACGGATACACTTAAATGAACTCGCACTCACACTCACGCGCCCACACACACACACACACACAAACACGCGACTAATTGTTAATTAATGGTTTATTTAATGATGCATAAAATATTGGATAAAATATTAATGTTTCATTTGCATTTAGCTTCAACCCAAGCGAATATCAACTTAATGTTTAAGTGGAGTAAAGAGTGTATATCGTTGAAACGATGGAAAAAATGAACACATAAAAATGTAAACAACTGAAATGCCAATGTCAAGACAAAACCAAAAAACATTCAACCCAAAATAAACAAGCAGTAATAATCAACTTTGTGTGGCTTTTTATTTCGCTGGGACTTAAAGGGTTACAATGGATCTTACCAAATAATTGTTTGGATTTATTTTTTTGTATTAAATTAAAGGATTGAAAGCTTTGTAAACCTTAAAATTATAAAAAACAATATTGAATAACATAAAAAAGCTAAAATATTTTGTGCTGTTTCACTTAAATGATCATCAATAGGAGTCTTGCAGAAATTATTCTTAGGCTCCCTCATCGATTTTTTAGACACTCGTTCCTTGGCAGATTAAACCGAGGCATTTAAATGACAGTGCAGAGCTCAGCTGCATTTCGATGGCTTTTTCTATGAAGAAAAAATATAAAGGAAAACGTCTATATCACTTTGCGCTGACAAGTGAGACAAATTCGATTTTAAGCGCGTTTCGTGCGCGGTTTTAAACGCCACAGCGATTTGTGCTAAGAATTGTGGGGCATACTTTTAGGCTGCTGTCGTTTAAGAAACTGCTGCAGGTCTACGTAATGCAATTAAAATCAAATATATATACAGAGGGCAGCAGCTCACCATTTAGCTCTGCACTTTCCCAAAAAGTCATTAAAAGATAAAATCGCAAAATCAATTAGCTAGAAACTTAAGCTGGTCGCGACTCGGACGCCAACTCTTTTTAGGGCCAAAAGGATGAAATCAGATGTGGCCATTAAGATTTTTTAAAGCTAAAAAAAGGAAACCTACAATTCAAGTTTGGCTTATTTCAGCTTAGATTTATTACTTAAAAAAATTTTTTATGGTAATAAGCTTATAAAATACAATTAAATGAACAAAACCAGAGGGTAAGTAAGATTAATATAATAAAAATATTGCGTTGTTTAAGAAATAGCTAGCATTAAAAACAATTTCTTTTTATAAATTCTTTCCTATAAATCTTTAAAATTGTCAATATTTTTTAAAAAATGGATAAAATGAATTTAACTCTAACTACCATAGTTTTTAGCTACTGCTTTATCCGATTTAGCTAGTTTTAACTATCAAATTTGGACATCCCTGGACTGAAGCTGTAGTGGAATCGAAGCGAGGACCGAGTTTCGGGCGCCATCTAGCCTGATCATAAATTGCAACACTTTTATCGCTGTCCCAGGCCCGCCTGCTGTTGTCCTTGTGCGCCGCCTATTTTTGCCTTTCCCGCTGCTGCTTCTTCTTCTACAGTTGCACAGCTTCCGATTTCCGTTTCCGCTTTTGCGGTGCCCGCCTTGAAACTGGTTTTTATTTGCCGCACACTCGCTCGCCTCGATGCCTGCATAAGTGGGCAGAAATCAGCTCCTCCACTTGGCCACAAAGTTTGCTGTTCGCACTGCTGCCGTTGGTTTTTTGGCAAACGCATTTTTTCATTACTTTTCGACTGGCCGGGGGCCAAAAAGCGAGCGAGGTCCGTGGCCATTGGGTATTCGGTATTGGGTTTTGGGATGCTGGATGCTGGATGCTGGGTAAATGCCTCATGGTAGATGGCAAATGCATTTGCTTCTTGCATGTTAACGGCGGCTGGGATGGCACTTCCGCTCGCCGCCTCATTGGCCACGCCCCCAGCTGCCCATGCCGGAAAATACACACACACACAACTGAAAGTCAGCCAAAAGAAGGCAGTGCATGAAATACTTTTATGCAATTGAAACGAATTGCGGAAAAATGATTTATGCCACAGCATTAAAGACCAAATTGGTACAGCCGAGGGGAAGTGGCCATGATGTATTGTTATGCGATACGCTTTATAGGGCAATCGGCCTGATAACATAATCCAAATATATGGCGGAAGGAATTAAGTACCCGGCGGTTGGTAATCAAATGGCAGTTCAGCTCCTAAAAACCGAATTATTCTGCACATTATTTTGAAATATTTATGGGGCTCAGAAGAAAATTAACCAAAAAAAACTGTCATAAAATTTTTTTAAATAAGTAAGCTTTTTGTATAATTTCTGAAGTATTACCATTATTTATGATAATTTATTTCACATTTAATGGAGTTTTTTCTGTAATTTTTGACTAGTCAAAGAATTTAATTCATTATAATTTTCGTTGAATATTTTAAAGTAAACACCGAATTTCCTAGAATTCCGAAGTGGGACTCGGGGCATAAGAAACCATTTTTATTACTCAAGTGCCCCAATGCAGAGATCTCTGTGCCCACTCAGTGTCAGTCTGGGGGAGCTCATTACAGGTCAATTAATTAATTGAAGCCTGCCAAATAGCCGGTCCGGGCTGCCGGCCAATATAGCCATAAAAGTGAATGGCCAACAGAGGCCCAGAGCCGGGACTCAGAAGCCAGAAAGAGGCATGGCCGGTTGACCAAATGAATTGCCATAATCACTGGAGCAACAGCAGGAGCCACTCACCATTTGAGATAAATCAGTAGGAGGAAAATGCAGAGGAATATCGGAGGAAAAATAGAGGAAATATGGGGGCCACATGAGCAGGGAAGTAGCACATGGAATGACATATTGGCCAACGAATTTGATTCGTCTGGCAGAGTTCATGGCATTTGACCATGGCCATTTGAATTTGACTTTTAATGCCCAACGAATCTGTCAAAGCCAAACCCATGCCATCTCCTATTTACTCTTTTTTTTGGGGGGGGGGGGGCGCATTTTCTCTCAGTGTTGCTGTCACACAATCGCTTCGTTAGTGCTTAAAACACAGCGATTTCATTCGCATTTTCATACCAAATGCAGGGCTAAAACGTTCAAATTGTTGTACGACACAATTTAAGGATTATGCACATGGAAATGGAGTTTTAATACGCGAATCCATTCTTATGGGCCCCACTCCCGGCTTTGGTAATTCAGCTAGGCCATACATTAGCATAAATTTGGCCAGCCATTGTCGTGGTCTGATTCCAGGGCATGTGTCAGGACCCGATTGATGCCATGAATATTTTATTAACATCGGCACGCTCCAACTTTCGACCTCAAATCGAACATATGGAAAGGCAGTGACGGATAAAATTGTAGCACTAGTATGTAGCATATAAAAACCAACTATATGTGCATATTTTAATATACCAAAATACAATTTCAATTTGAATTCTAATCACTTAACTTTTAGTTATTTTTCACACCAAACCATGAATATAAATGCAAGCAAATTAGGTACACGTTATTAAAATAGTTTGAATATTTTCCCGTAGCCCTCATCCTAATGATATACCCTTAACTGTTTGATAGAAACATATGAGCTGAAGGGGTGTTTTTATGTAATTCCGCCAACTGAATTGGGAAAATGAAATTTTCGCACGAATTTGCATTGCATATTGTTCGGCGCCTCTACGTGCAATCCGCTGACAAATCGTCATTAATAAAGCCTAGATGAGTGACTGACTGGGGTTTTTTTCTCTGTGTGCTCGGGAGGCGGTGAAGGGTGCGGACTGGTGGGCGTGGCAACAATGGAGCTTCGTTAGTGCAGCAACAAACCTGGCGAACGGCAATCAAAATTCAATTTATTTACGCACACAATTTGATTTTGATATTTTCACGCAATTTTCGCTGGATTCCTTTCTCCCTTTTTTTTCTGTGACTACCTCAGTCTGTGGAAATGAAATTTAATTGCAATTTGCTGGGGCAACACAAAGGCGAAATTAATTATGGGTGAACTAAAATGATAGCTAATAAGCATTTCTGGCAAAAACTAAAAATTTAATTAATATTCTGTGCCGAACAAGAAATTACACGACATAAATTCCAAAGCCAAAAATTGCCAGCCAGCTAATTACCAAACATAATTTATTTTAATTGTAATCCAGTAAAAAAGAAACATGCTGGACAAAAAAGCCGATAAATTCCCTCAATGAAAATGTATATTATCAGAAACAACTAATGTAATATATACTTAAATACACACCGATTTCGTAGTTGTTTTGCAAAAATTAAATGTAATTTAATAAACCGAAATTGCGCATTTATGTCGCTTGTTTGCGCTGGCAGCATACAAATATCACCATATATATATTTGCTCTAGTAATTTGCATTTAATTTCGCTATATGCAAATTTTAAATTACATCCCTAGCCACTGGGTAGTGCATACATCGGGAGTGCGGGTCTTTAATTAAACAGCCATAAATGCGCAGATAAAAACGCTACCCTGATCGATTCCCATTCCCAGATGCCGCAGAAGCCGCAGCCTTTAAGCGCCGTTTAAACTCGCTCGGCTTGCGGCCCATCAGCAACCTGTCAAACGGAAAAGCACTTGTGAGCCAGCTCGCCGGGGGACCAGCCATTCGGATTGCAATGGAGATGGTGATGGGGATATGGATGCTGATGGAGATGCAGATGGCGGTGTCGAAGCACTATAATCAACAGTTTAACAAACGGACAACCAGCGGTCAGGACAACAGGAAAGATGTCAGGATCGATAACTAGCCATTACTCACATCTCAAGTTAGGGAAACAAATGAATCTTAAAAAGCTAGTACTATTTGTTAGTTATTTCTGCTTGAAACTAAACAAAATATATAAAATTGAAATCAAAATGTATTCTCAGGAAATTTTACCTCAACTTAAACCTTGCTACAAACATATAAACACCAATAAATATTGAAGCGTGGTCTTTGTAGAATGATATGCTTGCTTCAATGCTTTTAGTGGTTGCTTTTAATATAGAAATATTTCTTACCCAAAACATCGTATTATTAAATACTAATTAACGAGATAGTCTTAATTTTAAAGTTTAGTATCTGGGTAATTTAGTACAAGACAGTTAATTGAAGCTAAGAGTAGATTTAATCTTTTACTCGCACTCCGTTAATTACCCACAAAAAGGGATTACGAGAAAACCTGTCTCACGAACTTAAAATTACAGAAAAATCGATTCGAGTGAAAAACCGTCTGAAAATCATTTAACTGACATATAATGGCATCGCCATGGCTGCTCGGCAGACGACCAAAAGTTGAATTTCATCCGGCACTTTGTCATAATTGTTGAAACGCAATCGTCCGTCGACAAGTGTTGACAGTTAATGCACGCAAAGCTGTCATCCAAACGAAA